CCCATTGCTTCTTTGCATTACTGGTGTCTTCTCCACATCTAAGCTGCTCCATTCTTGTGAACACAACTGAAATTGAGAGAGCACTGAGGAGGTGGGGAAGGAGAAAGGTACCAACAGCTGTGGCTCATGGGGTTAGCAAGGTCACCTATCCTGATGATTTTCTACCTTTTGAAAGGGATACTTCTAAACATTTTTTATTTGGAAGAGAAATGGACACAGAGGGTGAGAGAGATTGTCCCTCTGATGTTCACTCCCCTAAATTCCTGTAATAGCTAAGGTTGGGCCACGTCAGAGCCAGGAGCTGAGAACCCAGAACCCCATCCTGGTCTCTCATGTGGATGGCAGGCACCCATGTACTTGAGCCATCACCTGACCTGAGTGAGATACACAGGAAACTGGAATAGGCCCAGATACAGGATACAGATGTCTTAAATGGTCTCGAATGCCTGAGCTTGGTTTTCTACCGGTTGAGTTGAATTGATTTGTGAGATTAAGAGAGAAACTGAAACAGATACACAAATGCATTCAGCTATGGCAAGCAAATTGAGCTTAGAAAGTGAATGGGTTCCATATTTGTACCTCAACCTAAGTCATGAAATGTACAACCTTTTATAGTCCTTAATAGACCCAACAAAGATGAACTGAAAACATAGGGTATCAAACATGAATATCCCTATAGCGTTTCTCCAGAACATCCGAGTCATTTGTAGCTTTCCTCTACAAATGTGTCTGGGGAAGAACTGTTGCATGGGTGTTTCTCAGATGTGGTTTATTATATATTTGCAAATGTCCTGCAGATTTCTTCTGTAGAAACTGTGAAGAGTGCTTCTCTGCTTTCAGCCAGTACAGCTTTGGAATATTTTGGTCTGGTGTTTTGCCTGGCCAACCGAATTACTTCAGTGATCACTTTTTGATTTTTAAGAAAAGTGTATGTGGGGAGGAGAGTGAGACTAAGGGTGGTGCACTGTGAGGTCGTAGGGCATCTCTAGTAGTTCTACTACTCTGTCAATTTATGAGCCCAAACAAAGCTTGCTTGTATTTCATTCAGGTGCAACTGCAAACAGGTTCAAGTATGTTAATGCACTTTGTCATCTGAAATGACATTGATATCTTACACTGCTAAGTCAAAAGTTAAACTTTTATCCATTTTGACATGAGATGTTTAAAGCTTTCAATTCTGTACTGTTAGAGTAAATATTTAAAACACAAAATTTAGGCTCAGTACACTGCTTCTTCTTTTTTTTTTTTTTTTTTTTAGAATTATTTTTATTTATTTGAAAGAGCTACAGAGGGAGGTAGAGCCAGAGAGAGAGAGGTCTTCCATTCCACCCGTTCACTCCCCAAGTGACCGCAACAGCCAGAGCTGAGCTGATCCGAAGCCCGGAACCAGGAGCTTCTTCCAGGTCACCCACGCTGGTGCAGGGGCCCAAGGACTTGGGCCATCTTCTACTGCTTTCCCAGGCCATAGCAGAGAGCTGGATTGGAAGAGGAGCAGCCGAGACTACAACCGGCGCCCATATGGGATGCTGGTGCTGCAGGCTGGGGCTTTAACCCACTGCACCACAGCGGCGGCCCCGTAACTTCTATTTAATGACATATGCTCTGGCCTGCTTTCTAGAATGCTGTATTTTTACACAATAGGAATATCTTTTCTGTCTAATTTAGTTCTGTCTCCCATTTTGTATATACTACCTTTAAGCCAAAGTGTTACTAACTAATATGAATTACTTCTTGCTTGAAGGATTGCTGCCCAAATTAACCCAGTCTTAGGGGAGGCATTCCTGGGTATGCACAGATAAGTATTTAGATTAAGGATGAGAAAGAAATGCATGTCTATTAAATATATTTCATCCCAGGACAATTGTAGTCCTAGACTTTTTAAAGCAGTGCTATAGAAAACAACTTCATTTTGCCTTTGCAATTTTTGTTGTTGATTCTATCAGAGACAGAATGTTTGTTGGATGTATCAGTGGTCTGATAGCTGTATGGGCTTGGAATTTTATGTTCTTAGACCCTTAAAATTCTAGGTGTGGAGATGGCTTTTTGCTACAACTGGATAATACCTATGAGATTCTGTTTCCTTTAATTGGACTTGACATCACTGTCATTTCTTTCTACTGTACCATCAATGGGCGCTCTCACTGTCTATCTGTATCTCCTGTCCCTCTGCCTCCTAAATAAACAAACAAATAATTTTAAAAAGAAATTATACTGTAATATCCTCAGATTCCATTTATTTCCTTATTGCCTCAATTCCAAAATATTTGCTTTCAGAGAACTGGCCAAGGCTAGCTAGAATTTCAACATGACCAACCACCCAGAGAAGTTTGTTTGGAAAAGAATATCAGAGACGAGAGGTCATCTTAGTGTCAGTTCTCTAAGAGGGCCATGGGGAGATGTCTCAAATCAGGCTGGTGCTACTTTCAAGGTCAGAATTGGTAGAAACAGACAAATGTGAAGAGGGCCATCTGTCTTGGAGAAGGGAGAGCACTATTCCTGGGGAATGAAGGGCCTACAGGAAGGGGATGGCCAGGACTAGGTCTCAACTGGGAGCTGAATTTTTGCTAGAGCCCTTACAAAAATAAAGTGTGTTCATATTCATCTGGGCAGGGCTTTGAGTTGGAGGGTAAGAAACCAGGTGCAGTTTGCTGTGGGAGGCTGCAGCTTTTTGGCATTTGGGTAGTCAGCCCATTACCAGAGTTGAAGCAGCCGGGCTGTGTCTTGGTCGCAGAGCGTGGATGAGAAGCATTTCCTTATGAGGCTGCCTGAATCTGCCCAGGATGTCTGTGATATTGGATCGCAGGGTAAAGGTCCCTAAATTTGCGGTTAGGCAGGAATGAGGAAGATTGTGATTCAAACAGAAACTCGTGTTTATTTGGCGGTCAGAGGGTTGGAGATAAGACAGATTCTAGATAGCCCCTTCTTCCTTAAACTTGTGACCTGGTGACACAGTTAGTGCATTAAGGAACTGATCACTAACCATTTGCACTGCTGTGTTTCTGTAGACCAAAGATATCATGATTAGTATATGCTGTGCCTGAGGTTAGAGGACAGTCTTTTTTTTTAAATTTTTTTAAGATTTTATTTATTTGAGAGGTAGACTTACAGTGAGAGGAAGAAAGGTTTTCCATCCACTGGTTCACTCTCCAGATGTCCGCAACAGCCGGAGCTGAGCTGATCTGAAGCTAGGAGCCAGGTGCCAGGAGCTTCTTCCGGGTCTCACACACAGGTGCAGGGGCCCAAGCACTTGGGCCATCTTGCACTGCTTTCCCAGGCCATAGCAGAGAGCTGGATCGGAAGAGGGGCAGCCGGGACTCGAATCAGTGCCCATATGGGATGCCGGCCTTGCAGGCGGAGGATTAACCTACTGCACCACAGCGCTGGTCCCAGTGACAGTCTTAGTGGTACATGAATTCAGCGAGAATGTTCAACTGTGTTTTCCACTTGCCGATAATGTAATTTTTTTGGTCAGTAATATGAGTCTTATTTACAGTGATAGTCTGTAGTTCAAAGACATTTTCATAATTGAAAACTTGTTTCTCTCTCTCTTTTTTTTTTTTTTTTATGATTTCTTTCTTTATTTGAAACTCAGAGTTACCAAGAGAGGGGGAGAGATACAGAGATATTCCATCTACTGGTTCACTCCCCAGAGGGCCATAAGAAGCCAGGAGCTAGAAGGTTCTTCTGGGTCTCCCACATGGGTGCAGGGGTCCAAGCACTTGGGCTATCTTTGGCTGCTTTTCCCAGGCTGTTAGCAGGGGGCTGGATTGAAAGTAGAGCAGCCAGGACAACAACCAGTGCCCATATGGGACCTGCTATGCCAGAGTCCCAATGCCAAAAACTTCAGTTTCTTAAATTAATGTTCAATCAGGGTCGAAGACAAATTCCTATGGATAGGTAAGTTTTTCTCAAAAGGGTTTTGATCATGGAAAATAGATTCCTGATATGTATAAGAGGGAGAGGAGAGTTGGATATCAAGGATGAGCAGAGTGCATTTGGGGGACCAGGGAATTTGAAGGCTACAACAATTTCAGAATTTTAAATTTGTCACCCTGACCATGTGGCAGTCATTTGAGGAATACCCTTTCCTCTAGTATTTCCTGTTGCTTTCTTGTTGAGAACATCACTCCCATTGCCCCCCCCCCCTTCAAGATTTATTTATTTATTTGAAAGTCTGAGTTACACAGAGAGACAGAGGCAGAAGAGAGAGAGAGAGAGAGATCTACCATCTGCTGGTTCACTCCCCAAGTGGTTGCAACAGCCAGGTCTGGGCCAGGCCAAATCCAGGAGCCATGAGCTTCTTCTGGATCTCCCACATGGGTGTAGGGACCCAAGCCCTTGGGTTGTGCTCCACTGCTTTGCCAGGCCAGTAGCAGGGAGCTGGATTGGAAATGGAGCATCCGGAACTCAAACCAGCGCTTATATAGGATGCCAGCACTGCAGGCAGCTGCTTTACCAGTTAGGCCACAGTGCTGGCCTCTGCCATCACCCCCTTTTAAAGAACCACCTTATTAATTGATGAATGTCTCATATAAAGTTTCTTGGTCTGCAAAGTGTGAGTTGTCAGAACTATTTCTGGGCTGTTAATGATTCTAGCAGAGACATCTAAAGGAAGGTCCTTTGCATATCCCCTTGATGTGTGCTAGGTACTGAGGCAGCAGGTGGTCCTCTAAGGTCTAGAATGCGAAAGGGAAATTGTGTTCCTCATGTTCCAGCCTGAGCGTGCACCTTTACTTGGCTGTGGATTTGTTTTCCCAAAATATCTCTGCTGTCCTCGTGAGTTCTTTTTCTTCTGTGCAAAAAGCATCCCAGATCTGTGCTCTTGATTCTTTAGTTTGCAGTATGGTTTTGCTAGGTTGATTAGAGAAACAGAATTTGTGTGTGGTAGTTGCATTAGGCCAGACTGCAAGGCTATTCAGATGTAGGCTGCAAGAGTTTTTTTTTTTTTTTTTTTTTTTTAATCTGTTTATCGACTAAAACTTTCTCTTTTTCCTTTACAGATTTCAGCAACATGATGGCAGAGCATAGCCATGTGCAAAATCGGCAGGATTTACAAAATGGTAGCGTAGAAGAAGGCTTTGTGGTGCATTCCCTTGAGAACGACCCCCAAAACGTGATGGAGAACCTGGGCCCGAAGAAGTATTCTTCCAGTCTGAGGTTCAAAGCCAACGGGGACTATTCTGGCTCCTATCTGACCCTCTCGCAACCTGTGCCTACCAAGAGGAGCCCTTCTCCTCTGGGCACTGGCGTCAGAAGTAGCCCCTCCTTGGCCAAAATCCAAGGAAGCAAGCAGCTCTCCTGTGATGGAACTGACAAAAGTATGTCCATGAAACCTCCCACACCTCTACTCAGCACCACCCCCAGTGGATACCTCTTGGGGAGAGCTGACTTTGAAAATTATACAGGCCGGGACAGCGAAAAGTCCTTGAGGCTCTCTGAGAAGCCTCCCTATTGCAAGTACAGCTCAAGGAATAAATCACATGACAACGTGTACTTTCTCGGAGGGCTGGAAGGCAGGAAGGCATCTGGCTCGCTCCTGGCCATGTGGAGTGCAGGCGCCCTGGGTGACACTGGCCCCTCTCCCATCAGCAGATCGGGGGCAGCAAGCATGCCTTCGAGCCCAAAGCAAGCCAGGAGGATGAACATGCAAGACAACCTGACGCTGCAGCCCAGGTCAAGCAGACACAGGGAGCTGGCGTCGGAAAACACCAGCGGAAGAACCAGGAAGTATTCGGGCAGCAGCCTCAGTCACATGGGAGCCTACAGCCGCTCGCTTCCCAGGTTGTACAAAGCCACAGAGAATCAGCTGACGCCTCTCAGCTTGCCTCCAAGACACTCCCTGGGCAATTCCAAACGAACAAAACTGGGGGAAAAGGATCTACCTCATAGCCTTGTGGACAACGACAATTATCTGAATTTTTCCTCTTTAAGCTCAGGAGCTCTACCCTACAAGACCTCTGCCTCTGAGGGCAATCCCTATGTCAGCTCCACCCTCAGCGTCCCCGCCAGTCCCCGCGTGGCCCGCAAGATGCTTCTGGCCTCCACCTCGTCCTGTGCCTCCGATGACCTTGACAGGGCCCCGTACCCGGGGAGCAGTCCCAACCACTCGTTTCCTCCTGGGGAGCCAGACAGACTGTTTGTGGCCAGGAGGAACTTCTCTTGTGGATCTGTGGAGTTGGATGATGCCGATTTGGACAGCCTCAGACAGGCCTCAGGAACCCCCCAGCCTGCCCTTCGGGAACGGAAGAGCAGCATCAGCTCCATTTCAGGGCGCGATGACCTCATGGACTATCACCGGCGGCAGCGGGAGGAAAGACTCAGGGAGCAGGAGATGGAGCGACTGGTAATGTGCCGCTGTTGACCTCACTGTTTCTTGCAGCAGCGTTGGGGCAGCCTTAGAGGCAACCCCAAGGACCTAAGTGGGGCAGAGCATCTCCGTGTGCGCTGCTGTCTCTTCCTGGACTCTGTCCTGCTGTTTTTCTTCTTCCCAGCTCACCCTTATTAGGCATGTGGGAGTACTGAGCAGGTCTTCAGAAGCTTCCTATTAATTTAGTTGCTTTGCAGAGCTCTTACATGCATAAATTCTTGCAAATGCTACTAGTGTCGCTGAGCTTCTCATAGTCTTTTTTTTTTTTTCCCCTAAAGATTTCATCTATTTATTTGAGAGGTAGAATGACAGACAGTGAGAGGGAGAGTCAGAGAAAGATCTTCCATACGCTGATTCACTCTCCAAACAGCTGCAACAGCTGGAGCTGGGCTGTTCTGTTGCCAGGAGCCAGGATCTTCTTCCCAGTCTCCCACGCGGGTGCAGGGGCCCAAACTCTTGGGCCATCTTCCACTGCTTTCCCAGGCCATAGCAGAGAGCTGGGACAGAAGAGGAGCAGCCGGGACTAGAGCTGGTTCCCGTATGGGATGCCGGCACCACAGGTGGTTGCTTAGCTTAAATATGCTATAGCACCGGCCCCCTCACAAGTCTTAGCAACTTTTCTTTTAAGACTGTGAGGAAATGCTGACTGTTACTGTAAATGACATTAAAATTGCAGGATATAACTTATACCTGCAAGTTTAATAAGTAATCAGGAACTCGGGACTCATGGGGAGTCAGGCTGTGAATTTGTCTGTGTAGCAAGCTGTCTGGTGAGTTGAAGGAGTACCTCAGTGGCACTCAACTCTTTCCACACTATTCACATACACCCCACACTCTGTCCTGCCGTGTCTCCTAACACAGTGACTCCAGACTACATGTACTCACAACAGTTATTGAATTTTTATTTTCCATAGGGGAGAATATTGAAAATAAGAAGACAGGAGAACTCTTTAGGAATATCTGATAGTGAATTTGTTTTTATGGCATGCTGAAAATAAGGAAACATGCCTTGAGTCTCACTAACAAATGAGAACAAACAACTGCATTGTTTCCATTCTCCATTAAGTATAATGTTTTTCTCTTTTAGAATGATATGTATCAGGAATTATTTTGATACATTTATGATTAATAATTTTCTTAACAAGGGAAGCCTCAGGATGGTAAAGCTGGTATACAAAAGTATAGGCTTATTAGAAGTATTTTAGTTACTTCAAGAAAGTATACTGGAAGATTTTTTTCCCCAGAAACCTTTTATTTAGGCTTTACAAACTTCATGCATTTCTTAAATCCAACTTTAGGAACACAGTGATTCTTCTCACCATACTCTCCCTCCCACTCCCACTCCCACCCTTCCTCCTCCTCCCTCTCCTATTCCCATTCTTATTTTTTACTAAGATCTATTTTCAATTAACTTTATGCACATAAGATTAGCTCCATACTAAGTAAAGAGTTTGACAAATAGTATGAAAAAAAAAAAACTGTTTATCAACAGTCTAGACAAGGGCTGTTCAAAGTCATCACATCTTTTTTTTTTTTTTTGACAGGCAGAGTTAGACAGAGAGATAGACAGAGAGAAAGGTCTTACTTCCATTTATTTACTCCCCAAATGGCTGCTATGGCCAGCATGCTGTGCTGATCCGAAGCTAGGAACCAGGTGCTTCCCTCTGGTCTCCTACGTGGGTGCAGGGGCCCAAGCACTTGGACCATCCTCCACTGCCCTCCTGGGCCACAGCAGAGAGCTGGACTGGAAGAGGAGCAACCAGGACTAGAACCCAGCGCCCATATGGGGTGCCGGTGCCACAGGCTGAGGATTAACCAAGTTAGCCACGGCGCTAGCCCCCAAAGTCATCACATCTTAAAGTGTCAATTTCACTCCTATAGATTACCTTTTGGGCACTCTATTAGTTATCACAGGTCAGGGAGACTATATGATATTTGGCCTTTTGGGACTGGCCTATTTCACTAAGAATATGTTTTCCAGTTGCATCCATTTTGTTGAAATGATAGGATTTCATTTTTTTTTTTTTTACTGCTGTGTGGTATTCCCTGGTGTATATATCCTGTAATTTCTTTATCCAGTCTTCAGTTGATGGACATTTGGGTTGATTCCATATCTTAGCTATTGTGAATTAAGCTGCAGTAAACATGCGGGTATAGATAACTCTTTCGTATGCTGATTTCATTTCCCTTGAATAAATTCCTAGGAGTGGGTTGGCTGGGTCATATGGTAGGTCTATATTCAGATTTCTGAGGTATCTCCATACTGTCTTCCACAGTGGTTATACCAGTTTATATTCCCAACAATAATGGATTAGGGTGTCCCTTTCCCCCAACAGCCTCCCCAGCATTTGTTGTTTGTTGATTTCTGTATGAAAGCCATTCTAATGGGGGTGAGGTGAAACCTCATTGTGGTTTTGATTTGCATTTCCCTGGTGGCTAGTGATCCTGAGCATTTTTTCTTATGTCTTTTGGCTATTTGAATTTCCTCTTTTGAAAAATGTCTGTTTAAGTCCTTTGCCCACTTCTTAACTGGGTTCTTTGTTTTATTGTTGAGTTTCTTGAGCTCTTTATATATTCTGGATATTAATCCTTTGTCAGTGCATGGTTTGCAAATGTTTCTCCCATTCTGTCAGTTGCCTCTTCCCTTTGCTGAGTGTTTCTTTTGCAGTGCAGAAGCTTCTCAATTTGATATAATCCCATTTATCAATTCTGGCTTTGATTGTCTGTGCCTCTGGAATCTTTTCCAAGAAGTCTTTGTCTATGCCAATGTCTTACAGGGTTTCCTCAATGTTCTCTAATAATTTGATGGTATCGGATTGTAGATTTAAGACTTTGATCGGTTTTCAATGGATTTTTGTATAAGGTGTAAGGTAGGTGTCTTGCTTCATACTTCTGTATGTGGAGATCCAGTTTTCCCGATACCATTTGTTGAAGAGACTGTCCTTGCTCCAGGAATTGGTAATTAGCTTCTTTGATCCATTTGGAGTGGATTTTTGTGTAAGGTCTAAATTGCCCACAGTGACTGCCCAAAGACACAGTTAGTTGTAAGGCCACCACAAAACACAGCAAACATTGGAGTTAAGGGAAAAGGTTTATTGACAGGGGATGTCAGTAGGCTGGAGGGAAGGGACAAAGAAGAGAGAAAGGGGGTGGGGTCAAGGGAGAGAGTGCAGGAGAGAGAGCATGTGTCAGGGAAACGGGTCCTGTTATATTCTTGCAGGGGGTAGGGAAGTGGGAACAACCAATCCTGTTAGGGTGGGGGTGGAGCTGACACCTAATGGTTGGGCCATTTGATCACCTGATTTCTAGCAATGGCTATGGGGGCCAGAGCCTAGAATGGTGTCTGGGGTATGAATTGCACCACAGATAAGACCTCCACCATTTTACTAACACCAGCCACACCTTCACCCTCCCTTGTAGCCACAGTGTTTTTACAGTCCTAGCACAGAAGACTCTAACAGTCATGATCACCCAGCCCCTGTCAATTTTCCCAGCCAGATTCAGGCATCTCCTTCCTGCTGGTTGTTGGGCACATGGACACAAGCTGGCACAGCTGTTATGTGTGTCCAAAATGATGCCTGCCCTATCTCAGCTAGTTACAGGATGCTGGTGCTGAGTGACTGGGGAGAGAGAAACATGCCCCCTTCTTTCCCCTCTAGGTTGGCAAGTACACTATCTCCCAGAGGGCTCCAAGCCAGACTCAGCCAGGCTCTTCTCGCAGCTTTATCACCAGTGGCTTAGGCTGCTGCAATCTGGTCTCACCTCACTCTCCAAAGGTGGTGCTGAGGCTCTTGGTAGCTGGGGTCCTGAGTTGTGCCTATTCATACCCTCTACATAGGTCCTCATTGTCCTCTAATTTGCTGGAGTTTCCTCTGCAGTTTTCTCCCTAACTTTCCCCCAAGATTGACTCTCTCCACTTTTTAAAAACTATCTTCCCCTAGAGAGTGATCCAACATGGGAAGTGAGATACTCAGCAGACTCATAGAATGGCGGATGTCCTAAATAGCACTCTGGCCTCAGAATCAGCCCTAAAGGCACTCGGATCTGGCTGAAAAGCCCATGAGAGTATTTCAGGCATGGAAAGCCAAGACACTCTGGCAAAAAGATCTCTGTGAGTGAGATCCCAGTGGAAAGAACAGGTCTTCAAAGAGGGAGGTGCCTTTCTCTGAAGGGAGGAGAGAACCTCCACTTTGACTATGACCGTGTCTAAACAAGATAAGAGTTGGAGAACTCAAGGGGCTTCCATAGCCTTGGAAACTCATGACTGGTGCATAGGGAGATTACTGATGCCATAAACAGGAGTGTCAATTTGTAAAGTCAACAACAGGAGTCACTGTGCACTTACTCCTCATGTAGGATCTCTGTCCTTAATGTGCTGTGCATTGAGATTTAATGCTATAACGAGTACTCAAACAGTATATTTCACTTTGTGTTTCTATGGGGGTGCAAACGATTGAAATCTTTACTTAATGTACACTAAACTGATCTTATGTAAAAAAAAAAAAAAAGAAAAAAAAGAAATTATCAATTCCCAACTTGACTCTCACTGGGATTAAACATGACAATAGGTCTGATCTGATTTCATCATCATTTAAAAAATCATCTATTATTTTTCACTTTATGTTTCTGTGTGGAAGCAAACTGTTGAAATCCTTACTTAAGGTATACTAAGCTGATCTTCTGTATATTAAGATAATCGAAAATGAATCTTGATGTGAATGGAAGGGGAGAGGGAGTGGGAAAGGGGAGGGTTGTGGGTGGGAGGGACGGTATGGGGTGGGAAGCCATTGTAACCCATGAGTCGTACTTTGGAAATTTATATTCATTAAATAAAAGATAAAAAAAAAAAAAAACTATCTTCCCCTAGACTAGAGCAGTAAGCTCCCTCCCTATTCCGCCATTTTGGAATCTCCCAGATTTTTTGAATTACAAACAAAACGAGTTAATGCCCTATGGATCAATACAGTTGTAATCTT